TGTGTGCTTTTGTTTGTGTGTGTTGTGTACATGTGTTTTTGGCTCCATGAAGAGACGCCGTATGAGAGAGAGAGATAATCAGCTTTACACCAGATTGGGGATTGGCTCACCAGTCTATCACACAAATAACAACATACGGACACCCTAAAACCCAGCTTGCCATATGAGCACAACGTCTTTGGTGTATACACACACACACATACACACACACACACACACATACACACACAAACTGTAAATTACAGTAAAATATCCATCATTAACCAACCCATATTGGAAGCTTAAACCAGACTTTGGCATTCCTACTGTATATTGTAATTTCTTGGTATGCTGCTCTATTCCCATGTTGTTGCAGTATATCAATGACTAACCTCGTATTGTGGATGGATCATCTCAGTTGTTCTCCTGACTGAAGTTTGGTCCGTTTACAGCATCCTGCCATGCGATTGCATTTGTCCCTAACCATCGGGAACCCTCCCGAGTGGAAAAAGGTTAGCATTCATCCTCCAGCTTCACTGTGTTTATGTTATACTAACATAGGTGGGTCGCTTTATTTAACAGCTAGTGCAACTTCAGTAACCCTACAAACGTCACTGCTGTTTAGTTTTCTGCCTTCATTTATGTTGGAAGTCATAGCAGAGCTGTATATTTTAATTTGTTTCATAAGTCTCTCAGTCAGAACATGCTATATCATGTTTAGGTGGAAACTAGCGAGCTAACTTCCTGCTAACTTCTAACTCTGTGAAATTTTATAAATTCTGTTTTCATGGATGCCTGGATGTTAAACTTAACTGTTACACATGGTAAAGCAACGCTGATCATTTTGTTAAAGATGAAATAATTTAGACAGTTTTTAACTCTCAGTGATGTCGCAGTGACTTTGGGACCTGAAGCGGATGGAGTTTTGGACCCAGATTACTCCACGAGGCTAATGCGCCATATAGTCCAAAAAATACGGTATTGATTCTCAGATTTCATGAACAGTGTACTCCACCCAGAGCTACAAGATAAAAAGTTATTAGTGGTTTTCTGTGTGTACACTTTAGTTCATTCACGGTGTTAAATTTGACAGGTTGATTGATGTCCACAGTCAACTATTTAGGTAACTAAGTAGGCAAACAAATATGGAATCCAAAAAAATAAATGTAAAACTTTCAAAGCTCATGTGTTTTATATGCAATGCCAGCTTGGCATAGCAATGGAAGGAAAGTAGGTTTGGCATTTCTAAAAAGTGCAAAACAACTCTATGCACTCCAAAAGTATAGGAATGGAAAGCTTGGTAAGCAACACTCAGTTTTTACCTGACCCACTGCCAAGGGTCAGGCTGACATGATGACATTTTATTGCATCAGTCACATTTTTTCAAACGGACAAAAAGGCTTTCAAGGATGTTAAAGCTGTTTAAAAGAATGTAGAATAAACATGCTCTTCTGTTAGTTTGACAACAAAAGGGAAATCGTGGTTCCAAAGACATACAACCATCTTGAGAAAGTATTACAAACAAATGAGGGAAAGGCAAAGGATGCTGAGGAGAAATCCACAGAGTGGTTTTTCTCTTCAGTTTAAGCTAATCTCCATCAGTGATGCCAGGTTGCACTGGTGGGTTCAATTCTTTGTATAAACAAAGTGAATGTTTTCCAGACTTCCCTAATTATCATTGTATAATTTACAAGTAAAGACTTTAGGGTAAACATTTTAAATATGACAGAGATGATGGATGTTGTAGCAAAGATTATGTATTCCATTCAGGCCAGGAGCCATCCAGAGAAGGTTATTTTGCAGCACACAGGCATTACGCGGCTAAGCAGAGTTAAATTTCTGGCAAGATTCACCAAATTACTGCCTGAAATCCTAAATCTTCTGAAGCTTTCCAAACGTAGAATATTCAGCAGTAGCTTTTGGATTTAGTGTTCCTGACAGATCTCAATGACCTGCTCAAGGAGTTTAATTTAGAGCTGCAAGGCAATGATAAATATGTAATCACAGTGATTGGTTTAGTCAACAAGCTTAAAAGCAAGCTACATCTGATGTCAAGAAGGCTGGAACGGTGTGATCTCAGAAACTTTCTTCACATGCAGGCAGAGCTCTGACATCATTTAGTCAGAATCTGATATGTGCTTTACTGACTTTTCATCCAACACTGTGACCAGCTAGGTGTGTTTGTTTGTCATTTGGTGAAACTGTAGGTTGCATTGCTTCCAAAGTAATATCACTTTTCCATTTTGTTATCTCTGCTGCTGACACAGATATTCTTACGCTGCTAAAGGACAATACCATCAAATCTAGGGCAACACCTTTTTGAATGGAGAGTTCAGGAACAAAACCATCCCCCTTCAGAAAATAAACTTGACACCACTTTGTGGTTCAGTCACACTACAGCAAAAACACCATGATAACCTCCTTGTTACTAGGATAAACCTTTGGTTGCCAGGTGATGGTACTCATTTTTTTTCTATTCTGCAAATGATCACATGTAGCTGTGTCCAATTGGTCCTGCGATCGAAACTTTTCAAGTTGATTGTTGACAGACAGCTGAGACACTGCAATCAGTCGGAGTCAGCCCTAAATTGCCGTCCTGCAGCAACTATTCGTGGAGGACTTTCTGTTTCAGGTCTATGAGATTCTGGCTGAACAATGAATGTATATAGTCAATTTTAAACTTCTGTTTAATGTTACAGACTTTCCATCTACAAATCTGTTGTAGATGGCAACAGATTTGCAACTTTCATGGATTTATCACAGTTAACTGGGTATTATCACAGATTACATGTAATTTCCAACTTCACCATCTTGACAGATTAACTTTAAATACGGCAACTAACTGAAAGTGGTCGCAAATCTTGCCCCCGCCTTTGATGCAAGCATTTCAAATGCAGCAATTTTGCAAATTCATTGCGCACAGTCACAATGACTTTCATCAGGCTGCTGTCTCACTATTTCCTCTGGTGTGACTGTAGTAATATAGATCATCCTATTTATGCTGTGTGTGACCTTGTGACCAAGCCACCTCATGGCTTGCCCAAGGCTTCCAGTCAGCTCCTTTATGCTGTGTGTGACCTTGTGACCAAGCCACCTCATGGCTTGCCCAAGGCTTCCAGTCAGCTCCTACTGACTAGGAGATAAACAGGTTTCCACTTTTCTCATTTAAAGAACTATCTTGTGTGTTGTGTACACATGAAAAAAGTGGTTTGGGCTGACAGATACTGGGAGACTTTAAAAGTAGATCTTGGCTCGAAAGAGGCTCTTGCAGAACAACCACACATTTCCACTTTCTGCATCTGATCATGCAGAAGGTTGGTGGAGAAACGCTACAGCATTATTACCAAGAACTACATGAAGTCATCAAAACTCATGCTGGAGTAATAGGTACAAGATGTCTCATCCAAACAGGCCAACAAAGAGAAAAATGTCAATCAAGGGAAAACTCCTGGGAGGGCCTTTATTTGAATGGCTTCCAAATGAGCTAATGTAGAATTTTTTTATTGTCAGCGTGTGTTTTAATGAACGACCCTTTAACTCTGTTGATCCACAATATCCTCTCAAATTTAATGGTGTAAACCGGTAATTTGTGGTTTGCAAGGTGTACGTGCAGGTGTGTGTGTCAGTCACTTACAGGGCGAGTTGCTTTAGAACTGTGTAATTTTTTTTTTGTTTTGTTTTATAACAGCACAGACTTCTAATAGTTTGGGCTGTTCGTAGCTTTCTCATGAGTCACAACATTAAATGCATTTCCTACATATTTCCCATAAACGCAGCAACGTAAGCAAGCCTTTGATGGTTGTTTGTTCGCGGACGCCTGCTATTTGATTACCAAAAATGTGAAGGCTGATGTAAGTAAGCCAGCAGGAGTCTTAACCACCTGTTTGTTTGTTTGTGTGTGAGTGAGTGTGTGTGTGCACCATATTACGGATAAGTGCAAACACACACAAAAACCGACTTTCCCTAACTCCATGATGTCAACTTTTCCTGAACTTGAGCATACTAAGTGGGAAAAAAAATTAAATGGCAACAGCAAATTTACCATCGTCTTCATGATTCTGCAGCACAGACACACACACACATACGCACTAGGGATTAATATTAGCTAAAACTAATATACAGTATGTGTTTATAATAATTGCAAACTATGATCCCTCTGCTATACATTTTATGAGCAGCATAAGCAACTCCACTACTGGTGTGCACTTACATTTCCCAGAATAGCTGTCAACAGCCCTCTGGAAACATGCCGGAGCCTGTTGCATGCAGCTGATACAGTACATGTGTAGGCGGGTAGAGGCACAGCAATAAATGATGGGCCGAGAAAGCTGGTTTTAATGGAAAAAGCTGTCTATCAACTTCCTTCCGTGTGAGTGTTCAGTGCCAACGCATGACAGTGAGTACTGAATATCATCTTTCCTCTTTAAATCTGAGGGTCTTGGGCAGCCACCTGTAAGCATTTTGCACTGGTAGAGCGTGCTTTAGAGCAAACTGCTTTTCTTCTACTACAGAAAAAAGGAGAAATTTCATCAGTGCTCACAGGGTAATTAGATAAAAGCTGTCAGTCAAGCAGCAACACTGCAAAGCTCCAAAACCTGCAGGGATATCTTTTGTCCAACAAACACCTCCACACATCCTGATCCAGAAATAGCCTCTGCCCTCCCTTGCATCTTTGCTGATCCAAAGTGAAAGGCGGTATGTTTTTACTTAACACAAGTTTTTTTTTAAAAAGCTCACTTTCCTTTTGGCTCATTATCCTCACATTGTAACAGCGCCCAAAACAGGCACTGGGCTATGATGACGGTGTGGAAGATGACTGCAGAAGTTATAATTACAGAGCAAACTCTATTTCAAGATGTACATATTCATGTGGGCCTGCGGGGTAGCTGATGTGCCTGAGAGTCGAGTTTTTGTGTTTTTGTGTGAATAACATGACTCACGGGATAATTGCCCACACGAAACCTGGCAACGGCGATCATTTCACACCAGTGATGGGAAGTACAGACACCTCCAAACCTCACCTCTCTTCCAGCTGTTGGAGTTCTTTTCTCAGGTCGTCTGAATTTTTATTGGCCTTTTGAAGTGCGTCACGCAGAACTTTCTCTCTCTCGTCGCTCCTCCTCTCCAGCTCTCCTCTAACTTGACTTTCTTTTTCGTTATATATTTTCCGACGCTCCTCTTCCACCTCTTTCCTTGTACTCTCAGACTCTGCTTCAAACTCATCTCTCAGAGCTCTCACTGCATTTTGGTTCCTCTGTTCTAGCTCTTCTTGTGTGTTTCTCTCTCTGATTTCTGCTTGTCTCTGCATCTCCAGCAGAAGTGCCCTCTCCCACTCCAACCGGCCCAGCTCCAGTGCTTCACGCTGGGCCTTCTCTTTTTGGGCAGTCTCTCTCAGGTCCTGGAGCTCAGCTTCTAACTGAGCCAGCTCGGTGCGGAGCTGCTGAAACTCGTGGAAGATGAGGTAGCTTACGCCGCAGTAGCAGCACACCGTCTCAGTGCGCTCCATCTGAGGGCAAAAACAAACAAGGTGTTAAAAATACTAAATGAAGTGCAACTATTTAGAAAAACATTTTCACACCCGCACCTCTCTATGAGTCTTCATTTGAAACAAGTGGTTATCTATTTAGAGTATTAACACTAACTTAAAAAACAAAGACGTGGCCAGAAGAATTGATTGTGCTTTGAATCTAATTGATAGCAGCACGAAAGCACAACCAAACCACTTTGGTGGCATGTCTAAAAGAAAAGAAGAAAATCCACAATTTTTATTTTAAAGCAAAGGACGTAACAACAGTTGATACAACTAGCTGCATCACTGATCACTTTCACACTAAATGGACAGTAAATTCTGCAGGATCACATTATTTAATTGCCCTTTAGGTATATCATTATTATATCAGATATGGGAGAAAGTTGCCCTGTTACAGCTGGGTTTGCCCCCTCACATCCCTGAATTGAATAAACAATTAAGAAAATGGATGGCTGTCCTTCTCTTAAGTGAAGGTGAACTAGCTTCCTCTTGCTTTGTAAGTCAAGTTTTATAAGTCTACAAGTCGTTTTTACTTCACACTACACTTTTTAAAGTAATGGACATGGAAGATGGCGTAAATTTCAAAATATATGGTTGAATATAAAATTTACATACAAAACTTTTGATCATAAGTACTTAATAATGTCCATACCGAGAGTCAAACTAATCCTATAGTTCTTGGGGCGTGTCTACTGTCACTGAAACTACCAGGAACCACTGAAACTCATGAATCTCCTCTTTCTACCCATGTCAATCGTTAACAACTGCGAGATTAAACCACTTTGAAACCAGATGATTCTTTTTGATACACCCTGCATATAGCATATATTATGCAAATAAATTGACAATCTATCGTTTTTTGTCTGATATCAAACTAAGGATGAGTTTAGAATATGATTTTAATGGGTTAAATCATGTATGGGGAGACTAAAGATAGCTAACACATTCAGACTGTGAACTGCAGGTCCTGTTATTGATCACAATCTGCTTTAACCACTGTATCAAAAATGTATTTTTACTCTATCTGTCAGCAGTTCAAAGTTGTAGATGCACAGATACTCTGATCCCTCCTTCAGATTTTGTCTTCACCGATGTCTGTCCTCTCTCCTAAATAATTCCTGCTTTCTCTGTACATGTCAATGTACTCTCTCCAAGCTTTTTTCAGGCTTATGAGGGATAAGATTGTATCCCTTGAGCTTTCATCTTTATGATGACATGTTACAGCGAGGCAACAGATATTTGGATGGCATGCTGTCAGCTCCCATGTCAGAAAGCTCCAAATAAATTGCTACATGATGTAAACAAGATGAAATAAACTTGCAGACAAAGATGGCATGCTTGAGAGTACAACAGCGTACAAAACAGATTATTTTGGTCAAGTCTCAAAGGTTAAGTAATTACTTTTACCCATTTGACGATCTATTAGTTCGAGAGTACTTTCACTATCTAGAAGTAATGACCATGAAATTTGGTGTTCACATTTATTTGTGATATTTTAGTGGTTTTGTGATTGCAATGACACATTTAGACATCTATCGTTCACAGGGATTACTGTGGAGATTCTTGCTTCACAAGTGAACTAACCCATTTGTTTTAAGAACCCAGTGACCTTTCCCCAATTTTAACACAAGACCCACAATCCATGGTAGTACATGGCACTGGTTATTTTATTTCAGACTCATTTTATTCAACTCCTCCTTTCCAGAGCATGACAGAGGAAAGGAGAAAAAAGTAAAGTAATAAACATTTAAGGGGTGAAACAGGACATTTGAAACAATATATTTTCACTGGTTGTGTGTATTTTGAAAAATTATGTTAAAGTATGACTGCAGGCAAGCAAACCTTTATTATTATTTATTTATTTTATATATATTTATATATATATATAAAAAAAATCGTCATTTACATTATTTCCATAATAAATACACACTAATTTACTTTGAGAATAACGTTTGAGCATGTGATAAAGAGAGCTTTCACTGAGCTCTATAAGGTTGTGTGAAACATTAAGTACAACCTTAATTCTTGCACAGGAATAAAGAGGGTACATAGACCTCTGTAGAAGCAGAGGTTTTGGTAATTTGTTGCTCTGGAGTATTCGGGTGTTTGTTAACATAATCCTGCAATCTTCTTAGTTGTGAACACCACAGCGAATTCTCCTCAAGATCAGACCCTGGAATGCTCATAGAAATTGCAAAAACAAAGAGCTACACTGCAGACTCTACAGACCTCAGTTAGCAAGTTAAATGTTAAAGTTCACAAAGGTGTTCATAAAATATGGCCTCACACCAACTGTTAAGAGGTGGAGGGATGATGATTTGGGCTTGTTTTGCAGCCACAGGACCTCGAAAACTTGCAGTCATTGATGCAACCACGAACTTCTATGTAGACCAAAGTATTTTAGAGTCAAATATGATGCCATCTGTCCAAGAGCTAAAGACTGCCCTGAAACTGGGTGATGCATCAAGACAAATATCCCAAGCACGGCAAAAAATCTACAGCAAAATGACTGAAAAAGAAAAGAATCAAGATGTTGCAATGGCCCATAGTCCAGGCATCAACCTGATTAAAATACCTTTGTAGGACCTTAAGAGAGCTGTGCATCAACAAATATGCAGAAACCTCCATGAACTAAAGCCGCATTTTAAAGAAGAATGTGAGAGGCTGATAAAAAAGTTTTTGCCAATAAAGAAGCTTCTACAAGCTTAAAAGTGTGCTTAGTTTTTAGCAGGACTGTACAGAGTCCTGCCAAAAACTGTCTTCTTCACATGACTATAGACAGCTTTCAAATAGTGTCTAGAAATTCCATTACTTGTCCTTTGAGATGATCTACAAACACGTCTAAAGACATGCAAAGATACTAAACATGAAAAGACAGTCAATAGGACAGAGATCAAAAGAATGGAAGCCATTGCTTCAAAGTCCTGAAAGACACTGAGAAGGGTTTAATTAAATGATCTCCAGTCCTGTTATCTCTTGCTTCCTCTGTGCCTTGTGTTTCTTTCTTCTTTACAGTTAAGACAGAAGTCAAAGGGAATACGAGGGTAATCGGCATGATTGAAAGAAAACACACCATCGTGGCAAAGTGCTTGTCACATGACAAATGATTGACAGGTGACAGGTTAATCAAGATAGGCCCTGTTTCTCTGTCTCTGCAGCCGCCACAATCAACTTTCTCTTTCTGTGCCTACCTATCAGAGTGCTCCTGCTCTGTGTTAGCACCTTGTCAATCCATATCAGGTAAAGGTGCAGATTGCATCTGCCTCATGTCATCAAGACAGCGGGAGTCGGTCTTTCAGCAGCCACGACACACAGACAGACAATTAGAAGATCACTTTGTATGCGCTCATTATGCTCAGCGATTAATAACACAGCAATCCTGAAGGCTGAGGGCACAGCTCTACTGTTACTACTGAAGCTGATCCAGAAATTTAAATCAGCTGACATATAGTTGGTATAATGTTTGCAATATTCACCATCTAGCAGTATTACAGTGCTATACACACACTTGTTAATTCCCACTCCTAAATATTTTAAGCAAAGTATGTTCACGTCTTAGCTTCACACGATCCCCCGTGCTTTTGGATGCTTGAAATGACTAAGGAGTGCTCCTAATGGGCTCACTAAATGTTATTTTAAAGTTCCTATTGTTGGATGTTTGGCCTGATCAAGGTCTACAAACAGGCTGACGGGGGAAAAAAGAAACAAAGAAGGCAGAAAAGAAAGAGAGAGGGGGGGGAGTGTATTGTGCGGGTGGATGGAGAAAAAGCTCCACAAGATGACAACCTATTACATTATATTGCCACAGAATGCACTCTGGAGAATCAGGCCTATTATCTATTTGTGAGTGTATTTGTTAGAGCGAGAGAGACAGGGAGATCCGGGGAGAGTTAGAGCGTGCAACTGTGAGCAATATTTGGGACTGAGACTCAGGGGGGTTTAGTGTTTACTGTGCAGATGTCCTTGTGGTTCCTTCAGGCATAGATACAGCAAAGACTACTAAGTGTGTGTGTGTGTGAGAGAGAGTACGGTTTATATTTTGTTGGAAAATGCTTATGCATGTAAATTTGTGTGCGTTTGAGCGTGCATGTGGGAGGGTGGGTGTGGTGAGAGAGTTCTTTATGCCAGCCATGATGACGTAGCCATGAAGACAGACAACAAGGGGGCAATACACACTGTTTAAGTGACCTGAGGGCTGAATTGTGCCTCCTCCATGGTTTCAGACACACACACACGTACACAAACACACACACAGACGCTTTCTCACACTGCTCAAACAGCCTAAAACACATTCTGCACGCACGGAGGCAGATGAAAGGCGGTGGCAGACATTGACAAAACAAACGGACACGTTAAAACCGACCCTGATGCAAGCACAAACATGTACATGGTATACACAAAGGATGCAGAGATAGGCCGGCACATACAAAGGCAAATTTAGTCATATAAGCATTTACAGGCCAACAGGAAACTTACACAATCACTCGCCATTAACAAGCACACACACACACACATTCATACACACCCTGAGGGCAGAATGTCTGCACCACCAGTGGGTTGTGTGCTCCCGTGACTGAGTTCAAGCCCGCGGGGAGACCCCTTGCCCTGGGCACTGACACGTTCACTTAGTGCTCAAATGGCAAAAAAAACCAAAAACAACTAACCTCTCCACACGCTCGCACATGACTACTACGCCGGGCATGGGCACAGACGCCTGGAGAAACACCTGACAGGAGGAGAGAAAGAAAGAAAGGCGACACATTAAAACTGCGGAGTGACAGAAAAAGAAAGGGAAAAGTGAGGGAGTGAGGGGGAAGGGGAGAAAGGTCGTGTTGCCCTTTGAATGTTTCATGCCAGCAGCCGATGCTTCTCTTCTACACACCAGACCTCTTTGTCCTCCAGTGCACACAACACAGCTCCCTCTCTCTCTCGCTCTTATCTCCCTTTCATTCTGTCCCTTGATTGACTCCATTAGC